TATAAATTACTCAATAACGGGACATGCGCAGGTAACGATTGAAATATACAAATTTATCTTCTATATCGAGGATAAAATATGTAAAGTAAAGATCATTGATTTACCAAGATGTGCATATTAATTTGTAACGAACATGTAGTCTCTAAAGATGGAAATATGTTACTTTCTAGATATTGATGAATGTGAAAATTACGGCATATGTGATCAGCAGTGCGTTAATACTCTTGGATCTTACGTATGTTCTTGTCAATCTGGTTACAGATTGTATAATGATTTAGGAGCATGCAAAGTCGAAAGTAAGGAAATTATTATTTACACGTTCGTATTAATGTAGTTTAAGTTCTAATTATTGTTTAAGATATCACTTTCACATCGAAGATTGAAGAAATGTTTAAATTAATGACCGAGAATATGTCGGAGACAAGTTAGTGGTTAAAAATTGTAATTTATTACGTACAGGTGGCGAAGCTTTAATGGTGTTTTCATTAAAATCTGAAATCCATGGTTTATATCTCGATTCCCAAGTATATTATACGTTACTACGTAATTTGCAACATGCTGTAACGGTCTCGTTAGATGCTAATTATGTATACTGGTCCGACGTACAAAACGGAAGTAAAGTAATTATTAAGAGTTTAGAAGATGGATCTAACGAAAAAGTCATTGTAACAACTGGTAATAACAAAATAAGTTTAATATGAAATCATTGATTCATCTATTTGATTTATATAATTTTACTAATTTGATTTATTTCATTTGATTTATTTGGTTTATTTATTTTTATTTATTTCATTTTACTTATCTTATTTCATTTAAAAGATGCGGACATTGTACATATAACATTTCTTTATGTCAAATACCTTTAAGGTGTGGATAGTCCCGGTGATGTTGCAGTTGATTGGGTAACGAACAATGTATATTTCACTGACACCGGTTTCATGAGCATCGGTGTTTGCGATAACGATGGTTCTTATTGTACTGTGATAATTGAACAAACGAATGGTGGACCAAGGGGTCTAGCTTTGTTACCATCAAGTGGGTTAGTATCTACGGTAAAATATTTGGAAAGTGTGGTGATAAGTCCCCTAGCTTTATACATATCATAAAATAAAGTTTATATTTATATAAAAAATATATAATTATATATAAATAATTTTTATAAATATATAATTTATATATAAATTATATAAATATAAAAGTATTATATTTCTTCGCAACTTAAACCACTTGAAATTTTTGCATAAAACGAAAGTAAAGTATATAATAAAGTAACTTATGACGAAAGGTGAAAGCAAAAGAAAATCATTAGAATAAAAAATCATTTCTTATACCAGAAGAAACTACCTGCGTCTCGATGTTTTCATTTGAACAAGAATATTTCATAGAATTTAAATAACATGACTTATACCTGTTACTAGTGTTATGTACTGGACAGAATGGGGCGCAAATTCGCGTATATCAATGGCAGGCATGGATGGAAAGAACAGCAGAGTAATAATCGCGGAGAATTTAAAATGGCCGAACAGTCTGTCTATCGACTATGCGAATAACAGACTCTATTGGATTGATAGGAAATTGAAATTAATTGAAACAGCTCGTCTGGATGGTACCGATCGCAGGGTATGGATTCTTTTAGAGTGCTAAATATAGAGTAAGTCGGATAGAGATGGCTCACTTTTTCAAAAAGAACCGATACGTCATAAATATTATTGGTAGCTAGTAAAAAATAAAATATCTCTATTAAAATTAATATACCTATATAAGAAGCACAGTTAACTCCATTTCTACCGGAGGTGTCAAAAGACATCTTTCGAAACTTTCAATTAAAATTATTTCCTCAGTTCAATGATCTTTCCTCAATTGAATTTTGGACGTTTTATGTAGTTAATTTTATAATCGTTATTCAGAAAGTCGAACAATCAATTCAGAATATATGACTGAGCTTGGAAAATAATTTTAAGTTAAAATTTCAGGTGACTGTTGGCACCTTTGGTAGAAATAGTGTTAAACAAGTCTTTGTACAAGATTCAGCCCGTCATTCGAAGAATTTGAAAATATTTGACAATTTCAATGAGACCATGTCATCTCACCCGGAATTACCCTAAGTTTGATGATTAATCATTATTCAGGATTCGTCTTTCCAGGTTGTATTGAAAGATATAGCGAAAATGCCTTTTTCATTAGCCGTTTTTGAGGACAAGCTGTACTGGAGCGACAGGTCATCGAAAACTATAGAATCGTGCGACAAATTCACCGGCAAAGATCGGAAGGTTTTAGTAAACGCGAATAACACTATTCATGGAGTGCATATTTATCATTCTGTTTTAAGGCCTAACGTAAGATCCATGTCCCCTCTCGCTAGAATAATTGTTTTACCATGAACATGATTTCTTTTAAGCCGATGTCTTACAATTGTTCAACAGATTTCACATCCTTGCCATTCGAACCCCTGTTCGCAACTGTGTCTACTAAATTCAGAGAGCGGGTACACTTGTGCTTGTGTGTCGGGTAAAGAACTCGATTCAGATCGGCATACATGCAGTGGTATGTATTGTTATTCAATTTGTAGTTTCAATGAAATGTCATGAATCTATCTGGAAGAATATTCTATGGAACGTGAATTTTAGCCAATAAAAAACGGGTGCGCCTCGGTATCGCAGCTGGAAATATAATTATAGATTATTACCACGAGCTACTGGAGAAACCGAGAATAATGGCGAACCTCACGTTTGGCCAAATCGCTGCTGTCACGTATAATCCCGTAACTGGTAAGCGTAGATAGTAAATAATCAGTGTTATCCATTAACACTGGAACTACCAAGCATTAAATAGGATTGATAACGAAAATGTCTTGTAAAAAGTGTATTAGAATAGTTTTCAAAAGAGATCGTAATTTACTTTGTGTAGCGAACAATTTATTTCTGAAGCAAACGCTGTTAAAGAATGTTGACCCTTTGGCTACAGCAGAATTTTGTGTCAACGCGTAATTTTGTGTAAGTCTATTGAAACCTTCGAAACACTTAATTGAACTACATTAAACGAATCTAAAATAATCAGATTTATATAATATATAATTAACAACAGATGTAATTGTTGAATTAGAATTTACTTACGTCTGATCTAAGCGAGGTTCGCTGTAATTATTGTCAGTAACATTTTGTGGACGCCTATGGGCGTCAACAGTACACCGAAAACAAACTTTTCAAGCGCCAACAGTAGCCAAGAGGTTAAAACAGTGATAATGTTTATGAATTTACTAAATTTTAACAAGAATATTTATAAATGGTAACGTACAGTGCGTAATCCTTATAGAATTGTAACAAAATTGTAACCTTCCGGTTTCTTCAGACATTCATTATAGTATTCAAGTGAAATGATTTATTTTTCAAATCATTTCGTATATTCAACACTTTCGAGCTATCAATAACTGCAACATAAGAAAGCTGGAGTCCGCCATCTTGTCGGGCGCGGTAGTTCTGACGTTAGTGAACGACGCGACTATTCCAATGAAATGTAACGCGAAAAATATTTCTCTTTTCGTGTTTATGTGAAACGGTTCCTGTTGATCGAAAGTGTCGTTCTTATTTTAAGTTTATACTGTGTTGATTAGATAAACTGTTTGCTCGCATTGAACAAATGCGACAATTCGTTCGGTGTGCTCGATATTATTGAATGAAAATTTTGTGTAGATGGTCTTTTTGTGAGTGACCGGTTATCGGACACGATTTTCCATATCAACGCGAATAACGGAGAGTTGGAGTCTTTGATATACTTCGAGAACGAACTATTAGGAGGAATGGATTTCGATTACATTGGCAATAATTTGTATCTGTCCGATGTAAACCACAAAACAATCGAAGTTCACAGCTTAAGTACAAAGGAGAAAACGGTGTTTTACTTTCAAGAAGAGCCCCACGCGATTGCTCTAATACCAGAAGAAGGGTAATTATTCCAAGAGGAGTCAAAAAGAGTAATTTTCAGCGTAAATTCGTGGATCGCTGCAAGAGTTTCGGGAAATAACGAGAAAAGTCAGAAATAAGCTTGAACCAACGGTTTTGCCAGTTCTCAAAATATTCTCCTTCGATATCAATACATTGTCCATTGCACTGCGTCAGTGCTTTCTAAATTGAATAACGCGAAACTTCACGAAACTAACGAACAACTGAATAACAGCGGATTCCCGAAACTCTTGCAGCAACCTGCGTACATATGTCCCATTCGTTTCAATCGTAACATTTAAATTACAGGCTAATGTTCGTAGTCTTCTACGCGAACGAAAAGTATCGCATAGATTCGATGAAGATGCACGGAATTGGCCCGAGAATTCCAATCGAAGGGCACAAGGTACCATTGTTGGGTCCGATGGTATCACTGTATTACGACAGAGACTTGAAACAACTGTTTTGGAGCGATCAGAACACTGGTCTTATTGGTGTCACTACAATCAAAGGTTGGTAAACATTCCATGATCTTACGTGGACATAGATTTGAAACACCATAATATTTAGCAAGAGAGTATAGCTTGTAAATAGTAGATTTTTGTGCAGTAAGTCCCGTATTCTTATAAAATTTTTACTTATTAGTGAACATTATTACTATTAATTATTATTAATAGAGTATATAATATATAACCTGATATAGTTCATACAAGTATTCATCATTTTGTTTTAAGATATGAAGACACATATCTTGCGTACTGGGTTGTCACAACCTGTAAGCCTCGCTGTCCTCGGTGATCATGTATTTTGGACGCAGTTCAGGTCGGATAAACTGTACTGGACTAGTAAAACCGACGTGCAACAGTACCAGAAACGTGTTGCGTTACGTAAGTGAAACAAAATTATGGAAGACAGATGTACATACCGCCCGTTGCAGGTAACCTGGCACTTTCGTCTGAGCGGTCGGATTCGAAGGCGTACGCCTGATTGGCTGAGGCGTTTACGGCCACCAATCAGGTCGCGCGGAAAAGAGTAGGGACAGTCGTTTCCTCACTCGCAGTTGGATTCTCGGAGTGACTGTCTCTGCCTCTATGACGTCACGAGTGCCAGGTTCCCTGCAACTGACGGTAGGAAGAGCGAAGTTCTTTGGCGTAGAGTATAATGTTATTCGTTTCAGGAGTACCAAACGATTTAGATGAACGATTACAGTTGGTCAGCTCGCGCAGATCAGATACGAGTATAAACGAACATGAATGCCGCAAGAACAATGGTAATTGTTCTCACGTGTGTCTGGTCTCTGGTCTTTACTCATACGTAAGTCTAATGCTCTTTAACTGTTTGAGTGCCAAGCAGCGCGATCGCGGTTCTCCGTTACACTGTCTAAAAATGCCGCTCTATCGGCTCGTAGAATCAAATGAAGTTTATTTATTTCTTTTCCTTCTAATTGTTTACTTTTATTTTTATTATTGCATGCTTAAAAATGGAAAAAACCGAACGATCACGTTATTTAGAAATGTTTAATGTAAAAATATAAAAGTGTCATTCAGTTTCTGAACTGAAACGAAAGGAGCGTGATCGCGTTGCTTGGCACTTTTCGATCGGGTTTTTGCAAAGACCCATGGACGTGTCGACTGTCCACACGGAACGTTTCGGCTGTGAGTATCCAATACTCAACGGGTTAATTAATTTCATTTTATCGTTTGCTACTTTGAGTTCTCATATTTTATTGTGTGCAGATTTGCGCGTGTCCGTCTGACATGATGCTACTGGAGGATGATCGAACGTGCAGCCCTCAGTTCGACTGCAGTCCTGACGAAATGAAATGCGGGCAATACGACGTGTGCATAAAATCACATCAAAGGTAGTGGATTATCAGATTTGCTTAAAGTGCAATTAATATTTTAGCCGTCTGAGACCCGAAAAATAGTTTTATTTTGTTTTGTCCTCTGAATATTTCAAACATTTCAAAATATACGGATATATTGGTATAATTTACGAAAATATTGGTATTCAATGAAATTGCGATTTGAATGGCAATTATTTTTAGGTAACTATTTTCTCTGCGTGACGAGTATACTGGTAATAGAAAATATTGCTATTTTCTCACGACGAGTATACTCATTGTAACACAAAATATTGTTATTTTTTCATGGATAGTTAACAGCTGACTGGTTAACACTTTGACTGCCAAGTAAATAGCTATTAGAACTCCTATGCAATCGAAACAGTTCTCTTAATAAAACAAAAACTAAGGAGTCAAGATTCTTCGTAACGATTAGTTTACTACTTTTCTTATATCTCATACATTCAATAAAACTTCGATACGTCACCAAGAAATTGAATATTCAAGATCACGTTAAAAATGATGACACCCATATTCGAGTGACGTGTCAGTCAAAGTATTAATCACGAAATAGTGACGGATTAAAAGTTTAACGATCATTCCAGATGCGATGGCTTGCCGGACTGTCCAAACGGCGAAGACGAATCAGACGTATGCGACGAATTCCAATTGTCAAAATGCACGGAATTTGGACAATTTCAATGCAGAAGCGGGGAATGCATAAGCGCGGCATCTCGCTGCAATTCGCACTATGAATGCAAAGATGGATCGGATGAAGAAGATTGTTATGAAAAAGAGTGTAACAATTCTAGTCGAGCTAGACCCGTACTAAATTACAATCACTTCTTTGTGACTTATAATAATAAGAGCCTTTGAAACTAATTGCTGTGTATATAATACCGAAAATAACATATCAATGTGCTGTGAAAAGAACAATGAGAAAGAATAATAAATAAAAGATGCTCAAACGATTCATGATAGAATGAATTCATACTATTTAATCCCTTACCGTTTCAGTCTAGGAATTGTCGATCAAAGTGACACTGTGAAATTCTTCTGTAATTATAATGATCTCTGTATAATTTGGAACACAACAATTTCACGTAATACTGGTTTTGCCTTAACAATTTTGGAGAATTGAAATAAAAAGCTTACAGCTCTGTACGTCTCTGTATTATGAACTTAAGGATTCCGTATGGTATAAATAAGCAAAAATAATAAATCTTTTTAAAACTCAAAGCTAAAACGTTATATTTATGTTCTATCCCTATATCCTATCTTTAACAAATGAAGAATACCATTAATGAATTAACATTACGCATAACAAGAGAAGTTCGGATTATTTTCAATAAAAATATCGAAGTGTACAAGGCAAAGGAAGTATTACAAACTTTCACTGAAAATGCAGCAAATATGGACTTATTATTATTACAAATTACTTTCACATTCATGTTCAAATTTATTGTTTTATTTACTATTTTTGTAGAATTCTATAGAAATATTTTCATATTATTTACTCATATTCTCAAACTAAATACATCGATATATGCATATAATAAATACCAGACACATTTTTCGAGAAAATTTTAACATATTATAATTTTCTTGTATTCAAATTAGAAAAGTATTCGGCACTGCCCATCATTGTTAATTAAGAATACGTATATGTGTTATTAATATAATACGTTTAATCAATTATATCTTTATTGATCCACAACACATGAATATTAACTAATTAACTGAAACTGAATCACCTACACTTTGTATATCAGCAGTTTTAAATTATATAATACCTGACGTTAACATCTCATCTAGCTCTTCTATTTGTAACTTTTAATACAGCCGAACAGACATTCGAATATTGGTTATAATAATAATATATTCTTGAATGCTCGTCTCATTAAACATTAGAATTGTCCATACAAATTTCCATGTATTTAGTATCTGAATAATTTCTCAAACTCATCGAGGAGATGCTGTACAATATCTATGTTACGGACTTCGAGCAATAACAATTGCCCAGGTTCGTATTACAAAATTTACAGAAAACGTAGCTACCTCGTCCTTCAATGACAATTATTATCTTTATTTAACACGTCAAAAATATAAACTCTCCATTTCATAAACAACGTTTCTTTAAGAACATTAACACTGTACCTACCGAGCAGTTGAATTGACCTTTTGAAATTTCTTTATAGAAACTCCAAGAGTACATCTATCGAAACTTTAATTGATTTACAATTCAGTTTGCATATGGCTAAATCAATATTTTCAATAATTTTTCACAACAGTAGTGGGTAGTTCACTTGTTCCTGTCATGAGGGATACGTTTTCCGAAACGATAAAAGATCTTGTTAAGTGACAGGTAAATAAATGTCTTTTAATATCGTAGTTGGCAATAATCGATCGTCGCTTGTATTGTCACTTAACACTAAAACTACCGTGCAGTTAGATCGACTTTTCGAAATTCCTCTATAGAAAATCCAAGAATGCATCTATCGAGACTTTAATTGATTTACAATTCAGTTTGCGTATTGTTAAATCAGTTTCTTTAATAATTTCTCAGAGAGACATCTGTTATCTTTTTAATAACTACAAAAAGAAGAAATCAGAAATGGATTATTTCAACTCGCCTGATAATTTCAGTGTCAACGTGATAAATAAACATTACACATAGATTTTTATATTTATATACATTCATGTTTAACACTAGATTTACGGAATCCGTCAATTTGACGGACATTGAATTTTTTAATCATTATTTCGTGACAGTTTAAGTTGATCTTGATTGATGCAATTATACGAATACAAATTATTATTTTCCGTTCTTGAAACTCGAGTTTCCGCGAGCTATATAAACAAACGAATAAAGTGTAAAACAAATGCCTGTGAATCTAGTGTAAAACTCAAAAATAATTGCATCATTATTTCCTTTAACGATTCACTGTAGACATTCCTATGAGATATCGTGTATTAATATTATTTATTTCGATGTATCTCGTAAGCTCAGTGTTAACTTACAACAAATTAACATGTTATACATTAAATCATAAAACAATTCGAATACTTCGCACCATGGATTCTCTAATTTCCGTTTAA